CATGTTTTCCCAGGGCCAGGGGTTCGAGTCCTCCTGGAGGAGTTTCCCGCTGACCCCGAGCTGGGGAGGGGCTGGGCTGGAGGGGGAGGGCTCTGCCTGGATACCAGGACCCCATTCCTGGCCCCTTGTCCCAGTCCTAGTCTGGTTTGGTCCCCAGTGTCACCTCTGGGCGACTCTCAGTGCCCTCGTATACCAAAGATTACAGACGTGGTCAATATTTGGGACCAAGATTGAGATGAGGGGTCAAGAATCTAAACATTGGGCTAAAATTCCTGACGTGAGGCCATAAGCAGCACCAGCATTGCTATAAGCACCGGATGCTTTGGCGCAGAAATAAACGGCGGAATGTTCGTCCTTGAGGTTGTTCATGGTCAGCGTCACCAAGCTCTGCCCGTTGTCGTTGGAGATCGTGAACCGGCCCATGACCGACGGCACGTAGTTGGCGCTGCTCCTGAACCCAGCGAGCCACTCCAGCGCCTGCCCAGGTCTCTGGCGCATCCAGTAAAGGGTGGAACCTCCAAAATCGAACCCGGACCCTGGGCAGAGGAGGTGCAGAGACCCCCCAGGGGGCTGGAGGTCCCCCCCAAACTCCAGCAGGGTCACGGCCGCCCAGAGCCCTGCGGGACAAAGGGGAGATGCGGATGAGGGAAAAAATCCACCCAAAATGTTGATTCTTGCATGCAGATCCTGATGTTGGCACCCAATTGTGACACTTTCTCTTCCTCCCAATCCTGCCGGCCCTCCCAGGTGGGTCGAGGCCCCTTTTTGGATCTGGTAACCACCAGCCCAGCCCATGCCCGAATCCGGCACCTCATCCCCATCTCCCCTTTGTCCCGCAGGGCTCCGGGCGGCCGTGACCCTGCTGGAGTGCGGGGGGTCCTCCAGCCCCCCAGGGGGTCCCTGCGCCTCCTCTGCCAAGGGGCTGGGTTCAGTTTCGGGAGTTTCACCATGTTCTGGTTTTGCCAGAGACCCGGGCAGGGGCTGGAGTGGGTGGCAGCGATCTGGAGCGATGGTGGCACCATGTACGCCTCATCAGTCCAGGGCCGGGTCACGATCTCCAGGGACAACAGGCAGAGCTCGGTGACGCTGACCATGAACAACCTCAAGGACGAGGATTCCGCCACCTATTTCTCTGCCAAATGTTTTGATGCTGGTTCCTATGATGGTACTGCTGGTGCTGAACGCTTTGACCCCATCCCCATCCCCGTTTCCCCCCATGTCCCTATTGCCCAGACCCTTCCCCCAGACCCCCAGCCCACACCCAGCCCTTGACCATCGATCCCAACCTTGCTCTGCCTCGGCCCGAATTCTCACCCGCTGGCCCCAAACCACAACTCCTGACACCAAATCTCCTCTTTATGCCCCAAAACTTTGCCCTGAAGGTTGGGGTTTGGGGCCCAGGGTCCTGATTTTGGCCAGAATTGGGGATTCGTGTCAGCAGCTGTGGCTGGGAGCACAAAGTGGGGTTTTGGGGCAGAATTTTGCAATTTTCGTGCAAACTTAATTGGGTTTGGGGCAGAACCAGTTTGGGGGTTTTGCCTCCGTGGTTGGCGTTGGTGGAACTGGGGGAGATCTGGGACCAAGGGTGAAGAATGGAGTCAAGGGCTGAGATTTGGGGGAAGGGTCCGGGGACTGGGGACAGGAGGGGACCCAGTCAAGGGGAAGGGGCCAAGGGCAGAGACATCATTACCCCAACTGCCACCAAAACCCTTGGCACAGAAATAGGATCCAGAATCCTCGTCCTTGAGGTTATTCATGGTCAGCGTCACCGAGCTCTGCCTGCTGCCCCTGGAGATCGTGAACCGGCCCTTGACTGAACCCGCGTACTCGGTGTAACCACGACTGTTGATCCCCGCGAGCCACTGCAGGCCCTGTCCGGGTCTCTGGGGGATCCAGAACATTCCAAAACTCCCAAAATCGAACCCGCACCCTCAGCTCAGCAACGTCAGGGACCCCCCGGGGAGCTGGAGGTCCCCCCCGCACTCCAGCAGGGTCACGGCCGCCCGGAGCCCTGCGGGACAAAGGGGAGATGATTAAAAATGAGAAATATGATTGGTCTAGAAGGGGAAAAGGTGCATGCTCCAGAAAAAAGGGGCAGGGCCCACCTGGGAGGGCCAGCAGGGGCAGCAGGACCTGGAGCCAGGGGGAGCTCAGGGCCAAGGACGGGATGTGCCGGGGTTGGGTCCCGGGGGGTTTGGCATCCTTAACAGGGTATTGCCTTTGAAATCAATGTGGAACCCTGAGGAGAAGGTGTCCAATTAATTAATGAGAATATTGAGTTTAATTCCAACTTTTGAGGAACCTCAAGATACCCATAAATCTGGGGGAGATTTGGGACCGAACCAGTGGAGTTATGAGTGAAATTGGTGAGGATTTGGAGATGGGCTCCGGGTGCCCGTGACCCTGCTGGAGTGCGGGGGGGACCTCCAGCCCCCCGGGGGGTCCCTGCGCCTCCTCTGCCGAGGGTCCGGGTTCGATTTTGCGAGTTACCCCATGATCTGGATCTGCCAGAGACCTGGGCAGGGGCTGGAATACGTTGCGGGGATCTGGAGCAGTGGTGCTTACACCTACTACAGTCCATCGGTCAAGGGCCGGTTCAGGATCTCCAGGGACAACGGGCAGAGCTCGGTGACGCTGACCATGAACAACCTCAAGGACGAGGATTCCGGATCCTATTTCTATGCCAGGGGTGCTGATGATAATGGTGCTGTTAATGATGCCTATGGCATTGATGCCTCGCAATGGCCTTGTCCGCTCCTGTCCCCATTCCCCAGCCGCTTCCCCAGTCCCCAGCCCCGAACCCCATTCCTGTCCCTGTGTCCCAGCTCTGAGCTGGCTCTGCCCCACATTCTCAGCTCTTGGCCCCAAACCTCAGCTCTGGGCTCCAAGTCTCAGTCTAGGTCTCCAAACCTGGGTACAAATGGTCGAGATTTGGGGAAAATGGGCCATATTTGGTGTGTGTCTGTGACTCAGGTCCACCACTGAAATTTTTGGGCAGAATGGGTCCAGTCTGGGGGCAATGGTTGGGATTGGAGGGCTGAGGCCGAGCTCAGGGTGAAACCGGCCCTGATTTGGGGCCAGGAACTGAGATTTGGGGCCAGAGCAGGGCAAGGTTGGGAAAAAGGTACAGGAGTGGGGTCAGGAGTGGGAGTGTGGGGGAAGAGTCTGGGGAATGGGGACAGGAGGGACACAGGAATGGGGCTGAAACGTCAAACATCAGAAGCATAAGGAGCAGCAATAGAACCCGTGCGTTTGGCAAAGAAATAGGATCCGGAATCCTCGTCCTTGAGGCTGTTCAAGGTCAGCGTCACCGAGCTCTGCCCGTTGTCCCTGGAGATCGTGAACCAGCCCTTGACTGATGGCGCGTAGTCGGTGCTGCCACCATCGTTGCTGATCCCCGCCAGCCACTCCAGCCCCTTCCCGGGTCTCCACTCTGTACCCAAAACTTTGTATTAAAAAGGGTAATTTCAGACCAAGGGTCAAGGTATGGGTAAACTTTGTGGCAAGAAGAGGAGAATTTGGGGAAGAACCACTCTAAGGTTCGGACAGAGTCAGGAATAGGCAAAAGTGTTTGGGTTTTGGGCAAGGGTCTTGGATTTGGGAGCCGGTCGGGACACGGCCACGGGGTCCGGATCAAAACCATCAACACCAGCACCAGTACCCCAATTGTTATAAGCAGATTTCCCCCAGAAATACGATCCAGAATCCTCATCCTTGAGGTTGTTCATGGTTAGCGTCACCGAGCTCTGCCCTTTGTCCCTGGAGATCCTGAACTGGGCCTTGACCGATGGCGCGTAACTGGTACTGAAACCATCTTTCTTGATCGCTCCAATGTATTCCAGCCCCTGCCTGGGTGTCTGGCATCCCCAGCACAGGGTGGAACCCTCGAAATGGAACCCAGACCCTCGACAGAGGAGGCGCAGGGAACCCCCGGGGGGCTGGAGGTCCCCCCCACGCTCCAGCAGGGTCACGGCCGCCCGGAGCCCTGCGGGACAAAGGGGAGATTGGGATGAGGGGATGCAAAAGTCAGGCAGAGGTGTCCAAATAATAAATGTGTGGATTGGGGCTAATTGCACGGTTTAAGGCACTTTACCATTCAGGATACATCTGTTGGATCTTTGGGGATAAACAAAGGGAATTGGGGGCAAAACCAGTGAAAGTTTTGGGATGGGTGAGTGGCCGTGATCCTGCTGGAGTGCAGGGGGGACCTCCAGCCCCCCGGGGGGTCCTTGCGCCTCCTCTGCCGAGGGTCCAGGTTCAATTTTGGGAGTTTTGGAATGTTCTGGATCCATCAGAGACCGGGCAGGGGCTGGAGTGGGTCGCAGGGATCTACAGCAGTGGTGGTTACACCGAGTACACGGGTTCAGTCAAGGGCCGGTTCAGGATCTCCAGGGACAAGGGGCAGAGCTTGGTGATGCTGACCATGAACAACCTCAAGGACGAGGATTCCGGATCCTATTTCTGTGCCAAGGCTGCTGGTGCCAGGTGGGGTAATGATATCTCATCTCTTGGCCTCTTCCCCTTGACTGGGTCCCCTCCTGTCCCCAAATCCCAGGCCCTTCCCAAAACTCTCAGTCCTTGACCACATTCTTGACCCTTTGCCACAGATCTCCCCCAGTTCTAAGACCACCAACTAGGAAGCAAAAATGCCCGATTGGGTTCTGCCCAAAATTTCCACTTGTGCTCCCTGCAGCAGCAGCCGCTGACATGAATCCTCAACCTTTATCCCCAAATCGGGACCCTGGGCCCCAAACCCCAACCTTCAGAGCAAAGTTTGGGGCACAAAGTGGAGACTTGGGGTCAGGAATTGTGGTTTGGGGTCAGCGGGTGAGAACTGGGGCCGAGGCAGAGCAAGGTTGGGATCAATGGTCAAGGGCTGAGTGTGGGCTGGGGGTTTAGGGGAAGGGTCTGGGCAATAGGGACAGGGAGGGGGACACGGGGATGGGGAGAGCTTGGGCATTGTCAATAAAACCACCACCACCACCATCACCATCATCAGATTTGGCGCAGAAATAGGATCCGGAATCCTCGTCCTTGAGGTTTTTCATGGTCAGCGTCACCGAGCTCTTCCCGTTGTCCCTGGAGATCCTGAACCGGCCCTTGACCAATGGCGCGTACTCGGTGCAAGAACCACGGCGGCTGATCCCCGCGACCCACTCCAGCCCCTGCCCGGGTCTCTGGAGGACCCAGTTCATGGCGAAACTCCCAAAATCAAACCCGCCCCCTCGGCAGAGGAGGCGCAGGGACCCACCGGGGGGCTGGAGGTCCCCCCCACACTCCAGCAGGGTCACGGCCGCCCGCAGCCCTGCGGGACAAAGGGGAGATGATGGAAACAAGGAATCGGATTGGTCCAGAAGGGGAAAATGACCTCCAGCCCCCCGGGGGCTCCCTGCGCCTCCTCTGCCGAGGGTCCGGGTTCAGTTTTGGCAGTTTTGGGATGGGCTGGGTGTGCCAGAGACCCGGGAAGACCCTTGAATACATTGCAGCTATCAGCAACAGTGGCAGCACCTGGTACGGGCCATCGTTCAAGGGCCGAGTCACGATCTCCAGCACTAGGAACACAACCAGAGCACGAAGCTTTCCCACAGAAATAGGATCCGGAATCCTCGTCCTTGAGGTTGTTCATGGTCAGCGTCAGCGAGCTCTGCCCGTTGTCCCTGGAGATCCTGAACCAGCCCTTGAGCGATGGATTTTAGTAGGTGTGCCACCACTGCTGTAGATCCCTGCGACATATTCCAAACCCTGCCCAGGTCTCTGGCGGATCCAGTACATTTCATAATCCCCAAAATTGAACCCGGACCCTCGGCACAGCAACATCAGGGACCCCCCAGGGGGCTGGAGGTTTCCCCCGGACTCCAGCAGGGTCACGGCCGCCCGGAGCCCTGCGGGAAAAAGGGGATGAGAAACCTGAATGGCTATGGGGTCAAAGCGGGTGTGGCCTGCTGGAAAATGGGATGTGACCCACCTGGGATGAGGATGATGAACTCCAAGGGTCACAGTTTTGGGCCACGAGTCAGGATTTTGGTCAAGGGTTGAGCTTTGTCCTCATCCCCATCTCCCCTTTGTCCCACAGGGCTCCGGGTGGCCGTGACCCTGCTGGAGTGCGGAGGGGAAACTCCAGTCCCCCAGGGGGTCCATGCGCCTCCTCTGCCGAGGGTCTGTGTTCAGTTTTGGCAGTTTTGCCATGGGCTGGTATTGACAGAGACCCGGGCAGGGGCTGGAGTACGTTGCAGATATCAGTAATGGTGGTGGCAGCACCTGGTACACGCCGTCAGTCAAGGGCCGGGTCACCATCTCCAGGGACAATGGGCAGAGCTCAGTGACGCTGACCATAAACAACCTCAAGGACGAGGATTCTGGATCCTATTTCTGTGCCAAACTCCTGGTACTGGTTGTGCTGGTGCTAATTATATTTAGAATGCCGGTGATGGCCCCATCACCTGACACTGGGCTCACAGACATCCCAAAGCTCCTACTTTCTGCCATCAAATCTTTGCCCTTGTCTCCAAACCTTGACAGTTTTCCCCCAATCTCCACCATCATTGCCTCTCCTTTAACATTTCTCTTGCAGCTTTAGGCATTTGACCCAAATCTCAACTGTTCATGCCTAAAACTCTGCCCTTTATGCCCCAGATCTCAGCGGGGTTCACTTGTGACCATGGGCCCCAAACTCAGCTGGTTCTGCCCCAAATCTCAGCTCCTGGACCCAAAACTCAACTCTTGGCTCCAAGGCTCAACCAAGGTCCCCTAATCTGGGTGCAAATGCTTGAGATTGGGGAAAAACGGGCCAGATTTGGGTCTGTGGGGGGCAACAATATGGTCAAGGGCTGGAGGGAAGGACCAGGGAAAAGGGGACAGGTAGGGACACAGGAATGGGGACGGGACCAAAATTAGAACCAGCAGCATGAGCCTCCCAACCCCAACAATCATAGGCGTTTTTGGCACAGAAATAAGATGCGGAATCCTCGTCCTAGTGGTTGTTCATGGTCAGCGTCACTAAACTCTGCCCGTTGTCCCTGGAGATCGTGACCTGGTCCCTGAACAATGGCACATAGTAGGTGCTGCCATCACTTTGGATCCATCCGATGTGTTCCAGGCCCTGCCCGGGTCTCTGTCGATACCAGCCCAACCCAAAACTGCCAAAACTGAACCCGGAACCTCGGTAGAGGAGGCGCAGGGACCCCCCGGGGGGCTGGAGGTCCCCCCCGCACTCCAGCAGGGTCACGGCCGCCTGGAGCCCTGCAGGACAAAGGGGAGATGGGGATGAGGCCAAAGCTCAACCCTTGACCCAAATCCAGACTCTTGGCCCCAAAATGGGGCACTTGGAGGTCATCATCCTCCACCCAGGTGGGTCCTGCCCCTTTTTCCAGCTGGCCACCCCAGCTTTGAGGCCCTTAACAAATTAGGTTTCTCATCCCCATCTCCCCTTTGTCCCGCAGGGCTCCGGGCGGCCGTGACCCTGATGGAGTGCAGGGGGGACCTCCAGCCCCCCGGGAGGTCCCTGCGCCTCCTCTGCCGAGCGTCCGGGTTCAGTTTTGGAAATGTCGACATGAGCTGGGCGCGCCAGAGACCTGGGCAGGGGCTGGAATGGGTTGGAGCGGTCAACAAGGGTGGATCCAGCACCTTCTATGCGCCATCATTCAAGGGCCGGGTCACGATCTCCAGGGACAACGGGCAGAGCTCGGTGATGCTGACCATGAACAACCTCAAGGACGAGGATTCCGGATCCTATTTCTGTGGTAAACATGCTTCTGGGAGTTCGGGTACACTTACTGAGTTTGGTGTTGGTGATATTGACCCTGATCTCATCTCTGTGTCCCCACCCTATCCCCAAACCCCAATCCCGGACCCTGTGTCCCAATCCTGGAGTGGCTCTGGCAAAAATTCTCACACTGATTATGGCTACAAAGTTCACCCAAACCTTAAAACTTGGTCTGAAATATCCGCATTCAGTATAAAGTTTTTGGGCACACAGAGGAGATTCGAAGTCTGGAGGTATGCTTGGGGGTCAGCAGATGAGAACTGGGGTCAAGGCAGAGCAAGTTTGGGATCACTGGTCAGGGGCTGGGGATGGGTGGAGACTTCAGCAAGGGGGTAGGGCTGCTCTGTTGTCATTGTCACCATTGCCAGCACTGTTACGCCAACTGCCATCAGTAGATCTGGCACAGAAATAGGATCCGGAATCCTCGTCCTTGAGGTTGTTCATGGTCAGCGTCACCGAGTTCTGCCCGGTGTCCTTGGACATCGTGAACCGGCCCTTGACCGAATCCGCGTAGCTGGTGCTGCCAGTGGTGCTGATATCTGCAATGAACTCCAGCGCCTGCCCGGGTCTCTGGCGGATCCAGGCCATTACAATAATCCCAAAATCGATCCCGGGCGCTCAGCAGAGGAGGCGCATGGATCCCCCGGGGGACTGGAGGTCCCCCCCACACCCCAGCAGGGTCACGGCCGCCCGGAGCCCTGCGGGATAAAGGGGAGATGGGGAGGAGGCCAAAGCTCAACCCTTGACCCAAATCCTGACTCTGGACCCCAAATTGGGACCCTTGGAGTTCATCATCCTCCTCCCAGGTGGGTCCCGTCCCTTTTTACAGCTGACACATCCACCCATTCATGCCCACAGCTAATCAGTTTTCCGTCCCCATCTCCCCATTTTCCTGCAGGGCTCTGGGCGGCCGTGACCCTGCTGGAGTGCGGGGGGGACCTCCAGCCCCCCGGGGGTTCCCTGCGCCTCCTCTGCCAAGGGTCCGGGATCAGTTTTGGCAGTGTCACCATGCACTGGGTGCGCCAGAGACCCGGGCAGGGTCTGGAGTGGCTCGCAGGGATCTACAGCAGTGGCAGCGCCTACTATGTGGATTCAGTCAAAGGCCGGTTCAAGGATCTCCAGGGACAACGGGCAGAGCTCGGTGACGCTGGCCATGAAAAACCTCAAGGACGAGGATTCCGGATTCTATTTCTGTGCAAAAAATATTGATAATAGTTGTTGCAGTGCTGGTGCTCCTCTTGATCCATCTGATCCCATCATTGGGTCCCCCCCTGTCCCCATTTCCCCGACTCTTCCTCCATTCCTGTCCCCCTGTCCCAGCTCTGACCTGGTTCTGCCCCAATCTCAGCTCTTGGCCCCAAACCTCAGCTCCTGGCTCCAAGTCTCAACCAACGTCCACAAACCTGGGTGCAAATGGTCGAGATTTGGGGAAAATGGGCCAGATCTGGGTCTGTGGCTGTGACTCACTTCCACCACTGAAATTTTGGGGCAGAACGGGTCCAGTTGGCAGAAATGGTTGGGATTTGTGGGACGAGGCTGAGGTCAGGGTGAAACCGGCCCTGATTTTGGGCCAGAGCTGAGATTTGGGGACAGAGCAGGGCAGCCTTGGGACAAAAGGTCAGGAATGTGGTCAGGGGTTCTAGGGAAGTGTCTGGGAAATGGGGACAGGAACGAGGCTGAAAGGAAAACCAGCAGCAGCATTCCAACCACCAGTGCGTTGTTCTTTGGGACAGAAATAAACGGCGGAATCCTCATGCTTGAGGTTGTTCATGGTCAGCGTCACCGAGCTCTGCCCGTTGTCCCTGGAGATCCTGACGTGATCCTTGAACGACGGCCGAGGTTGGTGCCGGAACCATTGCTGCTGATGCTCCCGACCCACTCCAGCCCCTGCCCGGGTCTCTGGAGGACCCGTTGCAGGGCAACACTCCTGAAACTGAACCCGGACCCTCGGCTGAGGAGGCGCAGGGACCCCCCAGGGGGCTGGAGGTGCCCCCTGTACTCCAGCAGGGTCACGGCCGCCCGGAGCCCTGCGGGACAAGGGGGAGATGGGGATGGGAAGCTTGAGTGGTCGAGAGCCTAAAAGCACGTGTGGCCAGCTTGAAAAAGGGGCAGGACCCACCTGGGAGGAGGATGATGAACTTCAAGGGACCCAATGTGGGGCCAAGAGTCAGGAGTTGGGTCAAAGGTTGAGCTTTTCCATCCCCTTTGTCCCGCAGGGCTCCGGGCAGCTGTGACCCTGCTGGAGTGCGCGGGGGACCTCCAGCCCCCCGGGCGGTCTCTGCGCCTCCTCTGCCGAGGGTCCGGGTTTGATTTCAGCAGTTTTGGGATGGGCTGGGTCCGCCAGAGACCCGGGCAGGGTTTGGAGGTCGTAGCACAGATCAACACTGTTGGCACCACCCACTATGGACATTCGGTCCAGGGCCGGTTCAGGATCTCCAGGGACAATGGGCAGAGCTCGGTGACGCTGACCATGAACAACCTCAAGGACGAGGATTCCGGTTCCTATTTCTGTGCCAAGGATTCCTATGGTGGCTGGAATGCTGCCCATACCATTGGTTTGACTCCGGTGGTTGTGTTGGTGTTTGGGGTTTCAGCCCGGTCCCTGTCCCAAGCTGTCCCCAGACCCTTCCCCCAAACCCCGCTGACCCACCCCTGACCCTTTGTCCCAGCCCTGCCCCTTTTGCCCCAACGCTGCCCATTGGCCCCAAACCCTGCCCTGGGTCTGGCCCCAAACTCAACTCCTGGCCCCAAATCTCCCCCTCGTTCCCCAAAAGTGCCCAAAGGGCCGAGATATGGGGACAACGGGTGAGGTTTGGGTCAGCGGCTTTGGCTGGGAGCCCAGAGTGGGGATTTGGGGCAGAATCGGGCAAGTTTTGGTGCCGAAGCAGGTGGGTTTGTGGCAGAACCAGTTTGGGGGTTTAGGGTCTTTGGTGGAAATGGGGAAGATCTGGGCAAATGGGCCAAGAATGGGGTCAAGGGCTCAGATTTGGGTAAAGGTTCTGAGATCTGGGGACAGGAGAGGCTCAGGCAAGGGCGCTGCCACCACCGGCAGGATCAACGTAAGTAGCATCAGCAGTCCAACCACCTCCAGCTGCTTTGGCGCAGAAAAAGGAACCGGAATCCTCGTCCTTGAGGTTGTTCATGGTCAGCGTCACCGAGCTGTGCCCGTTGTCCCTGGAGATAATGAACCGGCCCTTGACCGATGGCGCATACCCGGTGCTGGAACCATCGCTCCTGATCCACGCGACGAATTCCAGCGCCTGCCCGGGTCTATGTCGGACCCAGTTCATGGCAAACCTGCCGAAACTGAACCCGGACCCTCGCCAGAAGAGGTGCAGGGAACGCCCGGGGGGCTGGAGGTCCCCCCCACACTCCAGCAGGGTCATGGCCGCCCGGAGCCCTGCAGGAAAATGGGGAGATTGGGATGAATGAAAACATCCACCCCAATGTTGATTCTTGCATGCAGATCCTGATGTCCCAAAAATTGGGACCCTTGGACCTCACCATCTTCCTCCTGCAACTCCTGCCAGTCATCCCGGGTGGATCCTACACCCTTTTTCTGGAATGGCAGCACCAACTTTGACCACACAGCTCATCCATCCCCTCATCCCCATCTCCCCTTTGTCCCGCAGGACTCCGGGCAGCCGTGATCCTGCTGGAGTGCGGGGGGAACCTCCAGCCCCCCGGGGGTTCCCTGCGCCTCCTCTGCCGAGGGTCCGGGTTCAGTTTCGGCAATTTTGCCATGAACTGGGTGCGCCAGAGACACGGGCAGGGGCTGGAATTCATGGCGTACATAAACATTGGTGGAGCCACTTACTACGCGCCATCGGTCAAGGGCCGGTTCACGATCTCCCAGGACAACGGGCACAGCTCGGTGACATTAACCATGAATAACCTCAAGGTCAAGGATTCGGATCCTATTTCTGTGCCAGGGCTGCTGATGTTTATGGTGCTGCTGCTAAAGGTGACGATGCCCCTGATGGTCTCACGCTCCTGCCTTTCATCCCACTCCCATCATTGAGTCCCCAGAGTTCTGCTTTTCATCCCAAACCTCACCCATTTACGCAGCCCTTGACCCTGTGTCTCCACTTGCCCCAATGGTCAGCACTGACCCCAAACCCTCCCTTGCTCCTGCCCCAAAACTCAACCATTGGCCCCAAACCTTCACCCCTGGGGTCCAGTTCAGGCCTGCTCCAACCAGGTCTTGGGAGTTGGGGGAGATTTGGGTGGAATGGGAAAAACTGGGAGAAATTTGGGAGTTGGGGCAGCAGGGGCGGAGTTTGGGGTAAAATGGCCGAGATTTGATGAAAAGGGCTGAGATTTGGTGGAGAGATCAGAGGACTATGGGATATTTGGGAACAAAGTGGAGGGATTTGGGACCAAGGCCAGAACCAGCAATAAATGCCACACCAACAGTACCATCACTATTGGCACAGCCACCATCAACGCATTTGGCACAGAAATAGGATCCGGAATCCTCGTCCTTGAGGTTGTTCATGGTCAGGGTCACCGAGCTCTGCCCGTTGTCCTGGGAGATCCTGAACCAGCCCTTGACCGATGGCACGTAGGCGATGCTGCCACCGTTGTCCTTGATCCCTGCAACGAATTCCAGGCCCTGCCCGGCTCTCTGGCGCACCCAGAACATGGAGAAACCCCCAAAATGTAACCCGGACCCTCAGCAGAGGAGGCACAGGGACCCCCCGGGGGGCTGGAGGTGCCCCCCGCACTCCAGCAGGGTCACGGCCGCCCGGAGCCCTGCGGGACAAAGGGGAGGTGGGCACCAGGCCCAGCTGTGCCATTCTCATTCCCAGCACAGAGTCAGACACCATTCCCTCTCTCTCTCTGTCTCTCTCTCTCTCTCCCTCTCTCTCTCTGTCTCTCTCTTTCTGTCACAGGATTTTTCCTTGAGCAGCACAGGAGAAGAAGAAGAGGAAACAATTCCCATCTCTCCTCGCTGCTCCTGCTGTTTCTGCACGTCTGGAATGTGTCTGGGGGATTGTTCCCCTCCAGGGATACATCATTTGGGTTTTGCTGCAGATTGTTTTCTTTCCTTGGCCAATGGGCTCCACGCCGTGACCTGGCTCTTTCAGACTCTCACGGGGATTCTTTAGGATTTTTTCGTGTCTTTTGTATGGAATTCTTTTAGTATATCTTTAGTATAGATGTAATATAGCATTAATGAGATATAATATAGTATTAATGAGATATAATATAGAATTAATGAGATATAGTATTAATGAGATATAATATATTAATAATGAGATGTAATATAGTAATAATGAGATATAACATTGTATTAATGCAATAAAATATAATATTAATGTAATACAGTAGAGATTTAATAGAGCAATTGTTCAGCATTCTGCATAATGGAGTCAGATGCCGGGACCCTGCTGGAGTGCGGGGGGGACCTCCAGCCCCCCACAGGGTCCCTGCGCCTCCTCTGCCGAGGGTCCGGGTTTGATTTTGGGAGTTTTTCCATGTAATGGGCCCGACAGAGACCCGGGCAGGGGCTGCAGTGGGTCGCGGGGATCAGGAACGATGGTGCTGACACCGCACCGCCTACGCGGATTCAGTCAAGGGCCGGT